AATTCCATTTTCTCAAAATTGGCATATCTTATTTTCGTTTATAAGTAGGCCACCAGTAGAGCATATAGAAAAGATGTTTCCACCCTATTTTGTGTAGGCCGATAAGAGGTCTGGCAGCTCAATTTTCCCACAATGCTATGAGTAGACCTGACATTCCCACCCGATTTGACACAGCATTGCTTTCACAACAGTTGTTCTCATCCCAGCTGAAGTGGGCTGCAGTCTCGACCTCGCGGGACTCGAACCATGTCGGCGCTGCGCGTATTGTCAACTCGTTGACGACTCGGCCAGAGGGCAGATGTGCATTTCGAGGAAGGCCAGGCATTCTCCAATATCACATTTCGTGGTGGGATTGTCGATGAAGCAACGAAGTAGTTGCTGTGGCAATCGACTATCATACACGAAATAGGATGAATACATCTCATCACGGTAGGCATATCCACTTTTGGGTAGCTTTCTGCTTTCTGCCACCGGTTTTTCATGGCCGGAATGCTTTTTTCCATTGCTTCTCTCGGACGTCCGTTGTTGAGGCAGATCCGAGTCAATTCTTCCAATTGGTCCAATTCTTGCTGACAACATTCCACGTCCGCTAATCTACCGAAGACCTGGGCCAGACGAGGAGGAGTAGCGCCTGGAAGTGAGTGAAATCAGTATGGCCGGTAAACACAGCAACGAACCTGCGCAGTCACGAGTGTGATTCGGGCCGGGGGTGGGAGCCGGATCAGCAATTGCGGCCAACCGAGGGGGAGGGAGGAGGAGACGAGTGTAAAGTAGTCTGAAATTGTGGTACAGCGCAAGTGAGCTACGAGCATGACGAGTGTGTAGAGGCAGCAGAATTGGAGGAGCCATGACACAACCGTCCCGCCGAAAGTTGACGAGGTGCAATTCACACTGACCCATTGACTATGCAGTTTGTGACTTGGGGGAAACGTATGGGAATGTACCAACTACACGGTCCGAAGCTGGGAATAATCATACATAGAATGGCAGAGACCCTCGGACAAAATGCGCTTAACTGGTTCGCCTTGACAACACGAGGACGTTGTGAAAAGAGGTTAAATCAATTTCATATGACGCTGGTTTAGCCACATTTACTGAAGGACATTCTCATTCACAAAGAATGAATAGTTTTGCAAATAAATGGAGATGCCAATTGCACTGGAAAATGCACATTTGCCTTGTATGAAATCCCACCATAAAGTGTGATTGGAGAGCGCCCACCCCTTGACTCTACTTGTATGTGGATGTGTGTGTGTGTGAGAGAGAGAGAGAGAGAGTGAGTGAGTGTGTGCATCCTTGAGGCCCAAGATACAGTTTCGTATGCACTTGAATTCGCTAATAAGACGGTATGGTAATATGAGATGTATTAATTCTATTTCATTTAAGGTGATGAAGGACTGGCAATAGAATTTTCCCACAATCAGATGAG